TTACACCCGTACAACTAAATGGCGTAAAAGGAACGACATCTTACAGCGCACATATATTTCACTTTTGATGTATATACCGGACTTTCCACCCCATCTTCTAGTGAGCACAAAAAAAAAGAAAAAAAAACATACTACTGTTATAAAGTGTACTCCAAGTACTTTTATTTTGCCCTGTAAAAAGGGAAGTAACGAAATTGCTTATGTCCTAATTATTAAAATGTCTTCTAGACACGTCTGCTAGCCTGAACTTCATGTTCCTTTCAATTTACAGTACACTTCTCATATATATATATAGTCCAGAATACCCCCCCCAAACATGTGATAAACTGTCCCGGATACAGGAAACGAATTATTTACGTTTTATAATGGACTTATAAAACTAAATACTTAAGTATGTGGAAATAAATGAGTATACAAACTACTATAAAGCATAGATCCCAATTATTTTGTTGTCATGTTGTTAGCTCAGTGCGTGCCATATTAACTTTAAGGTTAGTACTCATTGCTAAGAAGTATTTGCAAATATCAACGGCCAATAACGTCTCAGGTAAATAAATAGGCCTGAGATGCACCAGACTACAGACAGCACCTGACAGCAAGAACTACTTGTTTGCCAACTGCAGACGTGTTGCGTGCTGACAGACGAGTCTTTTGACGACTGATCCAACGAAAGGGGGGGCTCGGAAATTGGGGTCTTCCATCTGCCAGCTCAAGACGTGTGGCGACAGGTCACCACAAGTTAAAAAAAAGCAATGAAGGACACACCGTGGCGAGAATGAATTATTTTCCTTTTTTTTTTTACAGGAGCGCTGTGGGTAAAAAAAAAAAATCACAAATGAAAATGTAGATTTACTCCTCTTAAAAAAATCCAATTGTGCTGACAGCTGTTGTATTCGTCCTCTGCCTATCGACTACGTATAGAAAATCAATACCCCGTCGATAAATGCAATCGATTACAGCTCTTTGATCTTAGATCTTTGAGCGAGATTCATCTGCACATGTGTTTGCTGTAGATTTCGTTTTGCCAATATCTCCCCATCCCCCA